CAAGATGTAGATTAAGCTCATAAACGAAGCCAAACGCAATACCAGTCATGCATTTCCTTTAGTCGTTAAACATAATGGCCATAGACTGAGAAGTCAGGACAGGTGGTTTCGTAACCTGACAAATACTTGAAAGCTTACATCTCAGTACCTAATATAGAGTTACGCAGTCTCGGTCTTGTGTCATTAAGCCTTGATGTGACCAGAGCCTGATATCAGGCTTTTTTGATCATTTTTATTTAGGACTGGTATTGTATATGGACGTTAACACACGCAAAAACACAGACGAGTAAAATTAGCATGAACAATATGGACGATACTAGATATGAAGACCGGGATGGTGGTCTTTGTTTGATCGAAGTCTCTTTAAGCCTCATAGTGCTGATTCTACCTTGTTTTCGCAACCTGCAGACCTTGTGGAACGTACCTAGTCATGTGTCATCTGCCATAGTATTCGTAATTTCTAGTTGGGCCAATTACTTGGTATATTCCCAAACGTTTCGCAGGCATCGTCAGTGAGAGGCGTCATCGTCAGCACAGATTAACAACTTATCAAAGTGACGAGTAAAGGCAATCCTCTTGACCAATTTTCTGTTTAACCACTGTGGCAACACTCCTTGCCCCTATTATTGTTCTATCCTCTAGTGCCGCATCTCTTTCTTTCAACCATACTTCATATGGCCCATCCCCTTATTCACACAATTCTGTGCTCTCGTTTCCTCCAATTTTGCTTAAGAGTGTGTTGCTACAAGAGGGTTTAGTGAAGTGTAATTATCTCCACCACTGGTATCGATACCAAAACGATATGAAAGATAATTCTCCAAACCATTCTATGCCTATACATTTTCACTCTTAGTTGAATATAGATAAGAGGTAAGATAGCTCCTAACAGTCTTCTTGGCCTTATCTTAACTTAAGGCTTTTACAAGAATGCTTTTCAGATCTGATGATATCTATCATATGATGGACGGAAGCTCAGCCTGTTTCAATTGAAATGAGGGAGAATGTCCCATGGACTGAAGTACGTACCTGAAGATAGTATTAAGGCCAAGCGGCTGTAGTACAATGGGAACCAACCGTGTTTTTATGGTGAGATAGATCTTCGAATATCTTCAGCATGCACTTTCATAAAAAATGAAAGTCTCTTCAATAAAATCACTGGACTATGAAGCAGCCAATTATTGTGATCCACAACAGTAGTTAAAAAAATTATTTAACTGACACATCCTCCTTACAAGTAATATTATATAACCAAGTGGAATAAATTGTTGTCCCTGCAAACGATTATTCGTTTTATTGAGTATATCCATCTGAGTTTTATTTCTCTATCTAGGCTAACCTGACTAGTTGACTTAGTATGTTAACATAACACGAGTTTAGGGCACGAACCAAATCTGCGAGGAGCAATTTTGGTCAGATCCAACCATTCGAAGTGAACCATGGCATGAAAGCGTTATTGGGACATGTCTACTAAGCAACGACGCTTACGCAGGAGGGTATTGAAGGTCTGTACATCGAGCAGAAAATGAAATTCAAATCATCGTAACTAGATAGAAAAGCCCTGGCTCCTTTTTGGCGAAAGGCTGATTCACTAAAAATGCCTCAAGAAGCTGCTTCCTATTAATGTGTAAAGTAATGGATGCAATGTCTAGTGATCCAATGAGTAAATTGTTATTTCTGCGAACATAAATAGGAGTTGAAAGTTGAAAAGGACAAGGTATTTTTCCATCGTATTATCTCCTTTTCGGTTGATTGTTTAGGCCTTTTGACCCAGGTTTTACAAGTAGCTTGTATTACAGGATGAATAAAGGGACCGAATATATTACTGTCTTCCTTGTCGTTGCAAGCATGGTTTATTACATCGGATAGCTGAGCTTCAACAATGCGATTCTGAAAAAAATAATTGCATTAGCAGAAAATACAATGCGAAGTAAAACCTCAGGACTGGGAGAATTTAAATGAAAAGCTTCAAGTTTAACAAAGCTTAAATTTGGATGTCTAGTAGACACTCGTTAATGTGGCTACATCTAACCTGCTGAATCAAAAGAGTGCATGTGGCTCCATGAAGCGATGAGTTTGTCCCGTTTGCCTGAGCAGATAGCATGTTTGTTGAGAATTGGTCAAGAGAGAACGGTAACGCAACAAAATTCAGAGACTTTGAAGGCACCGGAGATGCAACGAAGGGCACCGGGAGTAAAGAAGCTTGATGAGGTGGGCAAAATCTGGTCTGTTCAGCATGTTTCATGGCCGATATATCCTCAGGTGCCGATCTAAGAATGGATTGGACGTCTGGAAGAGCTTGACCATAGGAAAAGGAAGAACCAAGTTGATTTTCGGGCAGCTGCATTGAATCGATGGCACAGGAGCTGGTATCGGAAATAGAAGAGCATTCGCGTTCAGTGGTCTTCTCTCCAGATTCAGGTGGATTGGGACATAAAGATTGAAAATAGGGGAGGTTGCCATTTTTGCCGCGCCTACGATGGTCATCATAGAGCTGATTTGTTTGTACACTATGGACCCCATCTGACCAAGCATTGATTTGACTAGCAGTGGTAGTGGTCGTTGCTGCTGCTATTGAGTTGTTGGCTATATTGAAGGCGGAGAGTACGGTCGGAGCGTTTGTTCTCGACTTCGTGTCCTTTCGTTCAGATAAAATCGGTTTTGTCGGTACAGGAGGCAAGCCAATGATATCTATACCACTGGGTCCTAGGCTATAGGGCTGAATGCTCGTGACACAATCTGTCGGGGTAGTAACTGGACCTGAGAGGGTTTCAGGAGCTGCACTCGTATTGGAGGTTACAATAGCCGGACAGCATGATCGACGCCAAGAAATCACCATAGCAGTATCTGAGGTAGAATCGAGAGATGTAGGAGAGTCAGGAGTAGGGGAGTTCAGACCAAATGTAGTGGTTGTAGTAGCCACAGGGCCGGTGGAACAAGCTGAGACAGAAACAGCAATGCGCTCAGTCGCCCGCCAACCAAACACCGGCTGAAAACATTCAACTGATCGCATGTGTACATTGCCATCGTAGCCCCCTGAAAAAAGGGAGAAAAAATTGGATATCGTGCTTTTGGTAAAAAAATAGGAAGGAACGTTTAGCCTGTCCAAGATGGGTTTATTATACCATTTTAGGGCTTGTGATGGCAGAAGATAAAGATGAGAGCCACGTAAAATTTAATAACGGTAATATCTAAAGTATCAGGCAATCTCACTTTAAAAGTGAAAGAACACTATTGACCCATTAGTATTTCAAGCAGTAAGAGCACACCATCTAGAATAACCAAGGCTTTCACCTGTCCTATCCCTATCATAAATATGAAATGAGAGGCCTGTCTCAATAGAACTAGGGGCGTCAGATCCGTGGAGTAACACCTCTCCTTCTGGCCATCAGGCCCTGAGTTAGAGTCCCGTAGGTGAATATGAGTCCTGTAAATTAATTTAGAGTTAATTCGCTATTTGGATATAAAGCATGGTTAGATTTTACTGCAACATCAAATCTTCTCTTCCTTCGAACCCAAATAAAGCAAGCCTGATTGTTTAGACCTGCACTTACTACACATCTTCTTACTGTGAAGACTTTCATTTCCTATGAAAGCGCATGGTGGAGAGACTCGAAGTTCGATCTCAACAGGAGACGATGGCTGATTCCCTGACACTACAGCCGGAAATGAGTCGTCTTCTTCTGGTGATATCGATCTACGAATCTCTTCATAATGCGCCTTCAAACTAAATGAAAATCTCCACAACAATGTTATCTCAGGAGATTCATCGAAACATGCTTTTTCTTCCTATACATTAAATATCAATATGCGGATTAAAAATATAATTTAAGAAAATTTCGTTTAAGACACTTTCAAACCTAATATATCAAAATTAATAGGTATGCAGGTAAAAAGATAAAGATTAATTGATACATTCGAGATTTTGATTAAAGCATGTTTTCGTGAAAGCCGTCTCAACTCATCCAATATTATCAAGTGCATTGCTCAATGAGACTGGTAGTATTTTAATCCCGTAGACTTAGCTCGACTGTATGCATTAGAAGCAGCCTATGCCGGTTCAATTGAATCAAAACGGACTATGAACTTAAAATAAAAACCTTTCTTTCAAGGGAAAGCAAATCATAGCTGATTAAGAAGCCAATAGAAAGCACGAAATAAAATCAGTCAGCAGTATATATCCGGCAAATACCACGAATTTCGGAACACTTTTAATTAGGTTAAGATATGGGAAACGCACCTAGTCCGGAGTTCATTGTTTA